GAACAGCAGCAGCAGCAGCAGCAGCAGCAGCTGAGGCAGCAGACGTTGCTGCTGTTACGCACGGGAAGGGGTAGCCGGAGGAAGAAGAAGCTGCAGCAGCAATTTGAAGATGGAAGACTTGCTTCGGATGCTGATGTTCCTGCTGCAGCTGCTGCTGCTGCTGCTATTCTTGTTGCTGCAGTTGCTGCTGCAGTTGCTGCTCCTGCTGTTGATTCCTCTGCAAGTGGTTCTTTCTTAGAGCTGCTGCTCTTTCTGCTGCCGCTTCAGCTGCTGCTGTTGCTGCCGGTAGTACAGCCGGTTCCGCCTCCCGCCCCGGATAGCTGCTGCTGCTGCTGTTGCTGTTGCTGCTGCTGCTGCTGCTGCTGCTGGAGTTATTGCAGCTGCTAAGCTGTTATTGAGTTGCTGCAGATTCAAAGGTAAGGAAGGGAACAGATTGAAGGCATGTGGTGCTGCACGCGCAGCACTGGCGACACCCATACCAGTAGCTGCTGCTGCTGCTGCTGCTGCTGCGGCTGCTGTTGCTGCTGCCGCTGCTGCTGCAGTTATTGTTATACTACAGGAATGAGAAGAAGCAGCTCGTTTGGGTAGGAAAGTATAAAGAAGATATTACACAATGTGCATGCACATTTGCTGCAGTTGATACTGCTGTTGCTGCTAGAGGCGTTTTGGGGGGCAGCAGCAGCAGCAACAGCAGCAGCAGCAACAGCAGCAGCAGCAGCAGCAGCAACAGCAGCCCCGATGAAGGTCTTGTGCAGCAGCTGCTGCCTCCGGTGGCGGCTGAGGTGTAGACTGCATGTAAAGGGATTTTGTTTTATATTTCTTAATTGCAATCTGTTTGCTTATCGGTGGTGCTGTTGCTGCTGCTGCTGCTGCTGCTGTTGCTGCTGCAGTCGCTGCAATTGCTGCTGCCGTCTTAGACTGCGGGGTTGTGCTGCAGCAGGGGTTTATTGTTGTTTATTTATTTATTTACATTGATTAAATAAAGACAAAAGAAGCGAAGATGAGTCATATGCTGGTATGTCTGAGGTGTATATACACCTGCAGCAGCAAACTCTGCTGCAGCTGCGGCCTTCTCTCAGCACCTCTCTGCAGTGTCTCCTTTTACTGTCTCCTTTCTCCTTGCAGCAATGCTAATACTCTGCTGCTGCTGCTGCTGATAATGCTGTATCTGCTGCTGCTGCTGCTGTTCCTGCTGCACCACACCTCCATAATAGTGGGGCGGTACAGCAACAGCAGCAGCAACAACAGCAACAGCAGCAGCAACAGCAACAGCAGCAGTTGCTGCTGCACCTGCTAGTCTCAGATCTCGTTGAAGCTCGATGTGTGTGGGGTCTTTGCTTTTGCTGCTGCTGTTTGCGTTATGAATTCCTTGCTGCAGCTGCTGCTGCTGCTGCTGTTTAAGTGCTATCGTTGTTATTCTTTCTGCTGCTGCTATTGCTGCTGCTGCTGCTGTTTCTGTTGCTGTTGCTGCTGCAGCACGCGCCTATTATCCTCTTAAAAGAGGGGGCAGACACCTCACAGGGGCGGGGCCAAATAATTAGTAATATAAATGCATGTCAAGTTGTTGTGGATATCGTTAGAAGCACTCTTGGTGAGCCTAATCTTTCTTGTCTCTTGTTTGTCTCTTCTCTGTCTCTTTTTCAGTGTCTGTCTCCTTTGTCTTGCCTCTTCATTATCTTCTTATCCCTTTCTTTTATCTGCTTTTAATTCCTGTCTTTGTCGTGTCTTTAACTGTCTCCTATGTGTCTCCTTTGTGTCTCCTTTATGCCTTTTACTGTCTCCTTGCTGTCTTCGTTCTGTCTCTCTTTTATCTTTTTTTATTTATCACCTCGCTTTTTTATATTTCTTTTCTGTCTCCTGTCTCTCAGCCTTCTCTCTCTTTTGCGTCTCTCTGTATATTTTTTCTGTCTCTCTTTTGTGTCTCCTTTCTATCTTTTTTCTGTCTCCTTTTTGCTGTTTATATTGTTATATATATATTATACATAATATATATAATATATTTAATATATTTCCGTGTCTTCTGTCTCCTCCCGCTCTTTTTCTGTTTATATTTTTTACTGTCTCCTTTCTCTCTCTTTTCTATAATCTCTCTGTCTCTTTTATTATTATAAATATAAACAAATAAATATATATATATATATATTATTGTTTGTCTGTCTCCTTTATAATAATATATTAATATTATATATATGACATATATATAATATGTCTATAGTATAATAATAATATAATTATTTTTCTTTGTCTCTTTCTAATCTAACCATCCATTGTTTAAATTATTTATATATTTATATATTTATTTATTTCTGCATTAAAGCCTATCCTCTTATTACTTTTATTAACGATTACTTTATAAATATTAACAGTATATAAATATATATTTATATTTATTTATTTATATTTATTTATTTATTTATTTTATTAGGCCCCAGAGGCATGGATAAGTTAATTCAAGGAGAGAACGGCTCTGCTACTATCACAAACGACGGTGCAACAGTTTTAAATTTGCTACAAGTTAAGCATCCTGCTGCAGCTCTTTTAGTAGATGTTGCGCAGAGTCAGGATCTAGAGGTTAGCTCTAAACCCTTAAGGGTTTACACTGCGTCTTCGACGCCTTTAGGGTTTTATAGACGGGTCTATCTCCTTCTTAAAGAGCTACGATATTAGGGTTTTAAGGGTTTGGCGGGTTTAAGGGTTTACAGGGGTTTTCAGGGTTTCGAGGGTTTAGGGGTTTAGGGTTTAGAGGGTTTGAGGGCATATAGGGTTTAGGGGGCGTGGAGGGTTTAGGGTTTGCAGGGTATAAAGGGTTTAGGGTTTACGCTTAAGGGTTTATATTGCTAGGAGTAGTGCTTGCGGTTTGCGGTTTAGGGTTTAGGGTTTACTGTTGTGGTTTAGGGTTTAGGGTTTATGGTGTATTGTTTCTCATTGTTTACTGTTGATTGTTTAGTATTTAGTATTCAGGCTTCAGGGTTTGCGATGTCGATGGATTTTAGTGTTTAGGGTTTAGGGTTTAGGGTTTAGGGTTTAGGGTTTAGGGTTTATGGTTTAGGGTTTGTGGTGTAGGTGGGGGACGGCACGACATCAGTGGTGGTGTTGGCGGGGGAGTTGCTGCAGGAGGCGAAGAATTTTATTGAAGAGGGGATGGCCCCGCAGATTATCGTGCAGGGTTTACGAGCAGCAAGAGACTTAGTAAGAATATATATTTATATTAATATATATCTATATCTATATCTATATAAGTATATATATATATGTATATATGTGTATATATGTGTATATTATAAGTAGGTGTTTAGAGAGAAACAAAAAAAGAGATAGAAAGAGACAAGGATTAAGAGCAGCAAGAGATTTAATAAGAAGATAAATATATTAATATATAGACAGCTAAATAACTATAATATATATATAAACAAATAGACAAATGATGATGTGTATATCTCTTGCTGCACTGTCTGTCTCCTTTTGTCTCCTTTTCTTCTTCCAGGCGCTGCAGCGCATTGATGAGGTGAAGATTTCTCTCGCTGATCAGTCCCCTGAGTAAGAACCTCTAGCTACCCAGCTAGCTAGCTAGCTAGCTAGCTAGCTAGCTAGCTAGCTGGTTAACCTAACTAACCGATAGCTAGCTAGCTAGCTAGCTAGTTGGGCCTTGTCACTGCATGGTTCATTAGGAGCCTTTCATCCGGAGTTGCAGAGCTACTGTCGTTAGCTTTCTAGGTAGCTAGCTAGCTAAATAGCTAGCTGAGTAGCTAGCTAGCTAGCTAAATAGCTAGCTGGGGCTAACTATCTGTTTACTGTGCAGAGACCGGCGGGCGCTGTTGGTTCGCTGTGCGGAGACTTCTCTCAACTCGAAGCTGCTCTCTGCACACAAAACTTTCTTTGCAGAGGTAAGGCTACTGCTGCTGCTGCTCTTGTTGCTGCTGCTGCTCTTGCTGCTGCTGCCACTCTTGCTGCGGCTGCTCTTGCTGTGTGTATCTTGTGGGGATCGTCACTGCTCTGTGGGGGTCGTCTCCTTTTTGCTGGGATCGTCTGTTTGTGTGTATATCGTGTGGGGATCGTTTTTTTCTCCTTGGATCGTGTGTATTTGCGCGTGAATATGATGTGGGGTCATCTCCTCTTTATGGGGATCGTCTATTTTATGGTGGGATCGTGTGTATTTGTTTGTGAATATGATGTGGGGTGGTGTGCTGTATGCTGGGATCGTGTATTTAATGGTGGGATCGTGTGTATTTGTTCATGAATATGGTGTGGGGTCTCTATTTGTGTGGTTGCAGATGGTGGTGCATGCGGTGTCTCTCCTCGGTGAGGGTTTGGATATAGATATGATTGGGATAAAGAAGGAGACAGGGGGCAGCTACGGAGACAGTCGCGTAATTAGCGGTGTAGCATTTAAGAAGACGTTCTCCTACGCTGGCTTTGAACAACAACCTAAAAAAATTATAAACCCTAAAATACTTCTTCTTAATTTAGAGCTCGAGTTAAAAGCAGAAAAAGAAAATGCAGAAGTTCGCCTCAGCAACCCCGACGTGAGGACACAGATTTTTTTGTCTCCTTTTTATTTTATTTATTTATTTGTTTATTTGTTTATTTATTTATTTATTACTTCTGTCTCCTTTTTAGTCTATTTATTTATTTATTTATTTTACTCCTGTCTTCTTTTTAGTTTATTTATTTATTTATTTATTTATTTATTATTTGTTGTCTCATCCTTTATATTGCTATCTCCTTTTTAGTTTATTTGTTTATTTGTTGTGTTCTATCTTACATATTACTGTCTCCTTTGTAATTCGTTTATTTGCTGTCTCCTATTTGATGTACTCCTGTCTCCTTTTCTGTTTATTTGTTTATTAATTATATTATTTTTGACATATTTATTTTAAGATATTTTTTCTCTAGGCTGTACGGTGCATATTATATATTATGTGGCCTATACGATTTGCTGTTATATATATATATATATATATATATATATATATATATATATATATATATATATATATATA